CTAATGAGACATAATAATTTTGTTTAAATGTGTCCCACAGTGATGTTGATCTGTGTGGTAGTGAATTAAGGGGAATTCACTAAATATTCTAGACGAAAATGTGTCCATCAAACTGAAACCAAAGCCTCATACAAATGAGCACTGACACATTCCTAATCAATACTCTGATAAAGTGATTGATCCATTGATAAACAGCATCATGAGAGGAATCCAAGTCCCTGTTGGAGTAGGTCAGAGCATTTCCATAGAGAGCCACTTTGCATCAGCAGCACCATGCTCCAGTGCTCTGGGAGAGTTTATAGTCCTGAGAGTTGAACACTGGATGACTGACAGCTGTCCTTCATGACAACAGAAGACACAGAAATCCTCCTCATCAAAAACATGACTTTGATCTCTGTCCTCATCTGGACTCTCCTCTGCTGCTGCTTCACAGGTAAAGTCCAGAGAATCAAACTCCTCTCCTCTATGAACATCCGTCCCTCTGAAATGAAGCCCACAAAACCATGACGCTGCTTTATGTTTTTGTCTCTGTATCCTCAGAGTCCAGAGGCCAGGCCACAGTGACTCAGTCTGGAGCAGTGAGCTCTGCTCTGGGACGCTCCGCCACCATCACATGTAGGATCAGTCAGAATGTCTATACTTGGAGCAGCTACCATGCTTTGGCCTGGTACCAACAGAGAGATGGAGAAACGCCTAAACTGCTCATTTATGCTGCTACCACTCGAGCATCAGGGATTCCAGGTCGTTTTACAGGCAGTGGATCAAACTCTGACTTCACACTGACCATCAGTGGAGTCCAGACTGAAGATGCAGCAGTTTACTACTGTCAGAGTGCTCATCTTATCAACAGTCAGTGGTTGTTCACACAGTGAAAAAGCGTCGTACAAAAACCTCCCTCAGTCAGACTGAACAGAAACTGAACTGACTGCTGCAGCTGGAAGCTACTGCAGAGACTGATACACTTCACTGAGGACACACACACACACACACACACACGCACACACACTGGGATAATCATTAAAAAAAAATAACAAATAACAAATAATTATTGGTCCTACACAAACAGTTTTATTATAAAGACCTAGTGCGCAAATAAATCTGTTAATATCAAGTTTATCATCACAGTTTCTCAACATCAGTTCAGACCACATTAGGATATGATCACATTTTACTCATTAAAGAGACAATGAACCAGACTGTGACTGTTAGTGAGATATGGCTCTGTGTGGCTCATGACTGACCTCAATAAGTAGTACTGTACACTGTAACTGATCATTAAGATGGTAACAGTGGGGTAATATGTTTCAGTAACAAGACTCAACAGCTCATAATGTGGTTATTGCAGATGTAACAACAGCTCATGGGGCAGGGGGACAGTGGGAATTGGGAGCGGGACAGAAAAGGTCAATTGTTTAGCAGACATGGTATGTATATTTCATTATTTATCATAATTAGATCATTTAATATATCATTTATATTGTTTATGATAGATTGTCAGTGTGTTTTCTTGCCTGATTCGCTCACAGAAACAATAGAAAATCACCCAAACTATTGCTACACATCCCATGATAGCCATGGAGGGGCCCACACAAAGCATAGCCTCGGGGCCCATGACCGACTTAATCCACCACAGGTAACAGCATAATAAAGACACAAAAATCTGACAATTATTGGGGGAAAATCAAGGTTGTTCATTAGTTTCCTTAATATAAAAGGCAGCAGTATGATTTATTAGTCCAGGTTTTGGAACGTCACTGAGATTTCTCAACCTCATACAAAGGAGGTGAATGAAATGTTCACACACTGCTCTGAAGAAATACTCTCTATGAAAACTGTTCACAGAGTTAAATTGTTCCTGTATTACTGTGTTCTTTGGATCATCTATTCACCTCCATTGAGTTCTTGAGAAAAAACATGTTGCTGCTCAAGTTTTAAAATGCTTTGTCTTTGCTGAAAGCTCTGCAAATGAAATTTCTTCCACCTGCATTTTATTGGGGTGGAGGCAGAAATCTCAGGATCCTGAATATTAAATCATATGTTCATGGAGAGATACCACTGGGCAAAGAGAAACTAATTTATATAACAGGTACTTTGGGTGAACTGACTGTAGCGTATTGGAGGAAAAGATAAAAATGTTCTGTGAAAAGTTCTCAAACACAACAATGCAACTCCCAAATATGGATGTACATCACTATTGTAAGGTATAATTCTTATATCATCACTCATTATGGTTCTTAAGTTGAATCTATGTTTCATGAAACACTGAAGTTCTGTGTGTGCAATGAAGCAACAGCTGCACTGAGGGGGAAACACCATGATATGTTGAGGACAGCTACAGTTCACTGACTCTGTGTGTTTGCATATGTGTCCTTCCTCTCTGCTCCCAGCCGTTAAGAGGCCAGTGTTTATCAGTGGCCGTCCAGGCCTTTCGGAGCCACTGACACGCCGGCAGCACAATGATAATGTCACTGACTCTACTGCTGGCCACCCTGGGGCTCCTTGTTCAGGGTGAGACTCTCTTCTGAAAACTTTGCTTCAGGATGCAACCAGGTTCACCACAATGATGTTCTGCTATGATGGAGAAACACTGAAACAAGCAGCATTTACCTTCTTCCATCTATTCTCCATGTTAAAGAAATGATACTCTTCTGTTTGGATGTTGATCATCTTTCTCCAAACTGGATTTGTCTCAATAACCCTTCTCCTCTTTTTCATGTTTTCCAGATTCATCAGGAGAAATCATCCTGACTCAGTCTCCTAAAGCTCAGTCTGTTGTTCCAGGACAGACTGTCTCTATCAGATGTAAAGCCAGTTCAAGTATGGGCAGCTACCTTCACTGGTACCTTCAGAAACCCGGAGAATCTCCCAAACTTTTGATTCATTATGCCACAACTCGTCAGTCTGGAGTTTCAAATCGTTTCAGTGGGAGTGGATCTGGAACTGACTTCACTTTGACCATCAGTACAGTTCAGATTGAGGATGCAGGAGTTTACTATTGTCTACAGAGTGGTTACAGTTACCCGTTCACACAGTGATACAACGTCGTACAAAAACCTCCCTCAGCTGGAGAGGAACTGATCTGAATCAACAGCTGCACAGAAATACAGACACTTTAGACATTTAACAGACAGTGAAGTCCATATAACAGAAGACCATCAGTAAATATGATGTATAGCGTAGTAAGTCCTAATGGTAACTTTGTTGAAATAAAGTAGGAAATAAGTTTGATACATCCATTGTAGATTAGTTGAAAGGTAGATGAGTTATTACAGATAACAAGACATTAACACTTTTTTTCGTTTGCTTTGAAATAGAAAATTTACTTTCAAGTTTTTAAAGTAGTTTAGATGTCCTTTTAATTTCATATTATTCATATTTAAGTCAGAGTTTAGTTTTCTACAAACGTAAACACACTACATGTTTTAAAGACCTTGTGTTCATATGAAAACACATAAGTTATGTAATATTTTGCCAACAAATTGCAAATACTGATACTAATCTTACATAATATGCTGATAATATCCCATTTTATAATTCAAATGATTTCTTATTAGATTTTGTAGTTTACTCAGATTCATTTTACTTTCTGAACACTCCTGAATCTATTTTAACGTAACACAAATTTCTATCAATGGAACACTTTGTTTATAAGACACATACATTATAACTAATGATCCTGAAGATCTAACTTTATTGATCAACTTTGTTACAAAAAAATAATACATGATTAGCGTAAAGAAGAAGTTCATGTCGTCACAAATGCTTGAAGGAATTTGAAGAGAATTATTAGTTTACATTGATGATGTTGGGTCACAATTAGAACTGATAAATGATTATCTGATTAGTTTTATTTTTTCTGAAGAATGAGGAGAGATATTAAAATTTTTGTTCTACATTTTATTCTTTTCCTAAACTTTACCTAAGATTTTTGAAACTCGATCTCAACTTTTTTCAGTTTTTCTGGATTTAATGGAACTATTAAGACAGCAACATCAGTTTACAGTAACATACATGACAACAACTGATTTGATGAACTGGTCTTTATTGTGTTGAAATAATCAAAATCAAAAATTGAATCAATGAAACATGTAATCAGAGAGTGAGAAGAGGTAAAGAAAGATTAAGACAGGTAATGAGAGAGTGCAGACGGAGAGCAGTAGCATGCATTTTCAGCCTGTATATTTTAGATTTCTTTTCATTCCAGTTTTGCAGGTTTGACCAAGTCTTTAGCAGATGAGGTTAAATATCATCAATCACATGTTTGAGGAAGATTTAGCTGTCTAGATTTAACTAGAAAGAGTTTCCAACATATGTCAGTTGTTTTTTCTAAACATTATATGAACATCCACATAAGTTGTTGTGCACATACACGTGTCCAGGTCAGCCCCACCCAAATTAAAATACGTTCCCCCACACGTCTGAGTGTCTCCTTGAGCTCTGGAAGTTTTTTAAAAACTGACTCTGATGGAAAAAGGATTTTTTAAATGTGTGTGAACAATGTTGTTTCATGTCTTTCTCACACAGACATGAAAAAGTGTCCAGTTTGGGGAAACCTGATGAAACAGGCTGTATGCACATTATTCACTCATGCTACATTTTTTAGATTGTATTAAGTATCAACTATGCTGACAAAATCTTATTCTGCCATTGGTTATAATCCTGCACATGTGAAAATATGGAATTAGACATCTGTTGTTAGTGTACAGGGATCCATGAAAGAAACATTTGATCTAAATAAAGAAAATATCTTTATTGGCTTACAGCATTAACAGCATTGGCATTATTGGAACAATAAAGATGTCATAATCTGAAGTTCAATTCTGTTAAAGTGGTGGAATGATAGAAAGTGCAGATTTAAAGCTGTAGCAAGGTAAAAACAGAAGCAGAGTCCCAGTGAGTCCGGTCAGTACTGAGAACATGGTCTCTCATACATTTCCATAGAGAGCCACTTTGCATCAGCAGCACCATGCTCCAGTGCTCTGGGAGAGTTTATAGTCCTGAGAGTTGAACACTGGATGACTGACAGCTGTCCTTCATGACAACAGAAGACACAGAAATCCTCCTCATCAAAAACATGACTTTGATCTCCGTCCTCATCTGGACTCTCCTCTGCTGCTGCTTCACAGGTAAAGTCCAGAGAATCAAACTCCTCTCCTCTATGAACATCCGTCCCTCTGAAATGAAGCCCACAAAACCATGACGCTGCTTTATGTTTTTGTCTCTGTATCCTCAGAGTCCAGAGGCCAGGTCACAGTGACTCAGTCTGGAGCAGTGAGCTCTGCTCTAGGACGCTCCGTCACCATCACATGTAGGACCAGTCAGAATGTTTATAGCTCCGATCGTTTAGCCTGGTACCAACAGAGAGATGGAGAAATTCCTAAACTGCTCATTTATGCTGCTAGCACTCGAGCATCAGGGATTCCAGGTCGTTTTACAGGCAGTGGATCAAACTCTGCCTTCAGTCTGACCATCAGTGGAGTCCAGACTGAAGATGCAGCAGTTTACTACTGTATGGGTGAATTCAATGTTAACAGTCAGTGGTTGTTCACACAGTGAAAAATCGTCGTACAAAACCTCCCCTCAGTCAGAGTGAAAAGAAACTGAACTGACTGCTGCAGCTGGAAGCTACTGCAGATACTGATACACTTCACTGAGGACACACACATACACACACACACACACACGCACACACACACACACACACACACACACACACACACACACACACACACACACACACACAATGGAATTATCATAAAAAAGAGATAACAAATAATTATTGGTCCTACACAAACAGTTTCATTATAAAGATCTAATGGACAGTTCAGACAACATTAGGATATGATCACATTTTACTCATTAAAGAGACAATGAACCAGACTGTGACTGTTAGTGACACATGGCTCTGTGTGGCTCATGACTGACCTCAATAAGTAGTACTGTACACTGTAACTGATTATTAAGATGGTAACATTGGGGTAATATGTTTCAGTAACAGGACTCAACAGCTCATAATGTGGTTATTACAGATGTAGAGTGGGAATTGGGAGCGGGACAGAAAAGGTTAATTGTTTAGCAGACATGGTATGTATATTTCATTATTTATCATATTTAGATCATTTAATATATCATTTATATTGTTTATGATAGATTGTCAGTGTGTTTTCTTGCCTGATTTGCTCACAGAAACAATAGAAAATCACATGATGCTACACATCCCATGACAGCCACGGAGGCGCCCACACAAAGCATAGCCTAGGGGCCCATGACCGACTTAATCCACCACAGGTAACAGCATAATAAAGACACAAAAACCTGACAATTATTGGGGGAAAATCAAGGTTGTTCATTAGTTTCCTTAATGTAAAAGGCAGCAGTATGATTTATTTATCCAGGTTTTGAAACGTCACTGAGATTTCTCAACCTCATACAAAGGAGGTGAATGAAATGTTCACACACTGCTCTGAAGAAATACTCTCTATGAAAACTGTTCACAGAGTTAAATTGTTCCTGTATTACTGTGTTCTTTGGATCATATATTCACCTCCATTGAGTTGGACATCATTTTGATAGAACAAAACATATTGCTACTGTAGTTTTAAAAATGCTTTATCTTTGCTGAAAGCTATACAAATGAAATTTCTTACACCTGCATTTTTTTGGGGTGGAGGCAGAAATCTCAGGATCCTGAATATTAAATCATATGTTCATGGAGAGATACCACTGGGCAACGAGAAACTAATTTACATTACAGGTATTTAGGGTGAACTCACCGGCAGTGTATGTGAGGAGAAGAAAAAAAAGTTCTGTGAAGCACCGCAATGTTCTTAAACACAATAATGCAACTCCCAAATATAGATGTACATCCCTATTGTAAGGTATAATTCTTATATAATCACTCATTATGGTTCTTAAGTTGAATCTATGTTTCATGAAACACTGAAGTTCTGTGTGCGCAATGAAGCAACAGCTGCACTGAGGGGGAAACACCATGATATGTTGAGGACAGCTACAGTTCACTGACTCTGTGTGTTTGCATATGTGTCCTTCCTCTCTGCTCCCAGCCGTTAAGAGGCCAGTGTTGATCAGTGGCTGTCCAGGCCTTTCAGAGCCACTGACACGCCGGCAGAACAATGATAATGTCACTGACTCTACTGCTGGCCACCCTGGGGCTCCTTGTTCAGGGTGAGACTCTCTTCTGAAAACTTTGCTTCAGGATGCAACCAGGTTCACCACAATGATGTTCTGCTATGATGGAGAAACACTGAAACAAGCAGCATTTACCTTCTTCCATCTATTCTCCATGTTAAAGAAATGATACTCTTCTGTTTGGATGTTGATCATCTTTCTCCAAACTGGATTTGTCTCAATAACCCTTCTCCTCTTTTTCATGTTTTCCAGATTCATCAGGAGAAATCATCCTGACTCAGTCTCCTAAAGCTCAGTCTGTTGTTCCAGGACAGACTGTCTCTGTCAGATGTAAAGCCAGTTCAAGTGCTGGTACTTGTCTTAACTGGTACCTTCAGAAACCTGGAGAATCGCCCAAACTCTTGATTTATTATTCTACAAGCCGTCAGTCTGGAGTTTCAGGTCGTTTTAGTGGAAGTGGATCTGGAACTGACTTCACTCTGACCATCAGTGGAGTTCAGACTGAAGATGCAGGAGATTATTACTGTCAGCAATGTAACAGCTGGCCATTCACACAGTGATACAACGTCGTACAAAAACCTCCCTCAGCTGGAGAGGAACTGATCTGAATCAACAGCTGCACAGAAATACAGACACTTTAGAAATGTAATAGACAGTGAAGTCCATATAACAGAATACTGTCAGTAAATATGATGTATAGTGTAGGAAGTTCTAATGGTAACTTTGATGAGAGAGGGTAGGAAATAAGTTTGATACATCCATTGTAGATTAGTCAAAAAGTAGATTAGTTTTTACAGGTAACAAGATGTTAACATTAGTTTGTCTTTTGTTTGCTTTGAAATAGAATATGTTCTTTAAGTCTTTTAACCTAGTTTTGATGTAATTTGAATTTCATATTATTCATATTTAATTCAGAGTTTAGATTTCAACAAACTTAAACACACTACATATTTTAATGAGCTTGTGTTCATATGAAAACACCTAAGGTATGTTATATTTTGCCAAAAAACTGCAGATACTGATACTAATCGTGCCCAATGCACGTTTTATAATTCAAATGATTTCTTCTCAGATTTTGTAGTTATTCGGATTAATTTTACTTTCTGTACACTCCTGAATCTATTTTAACATAACATGGATTCATATCAATGGAACAATTCTTTTATAGGACACATACATTATATCTAATGATCCTGAAGATACTTTATTGATCAGCTTTCTTACCAAAAAATAAATTCATGATTAGAGTAAAGAAGAAGTTCATGTCATTACAAATGCTTGAAGGAATCTCTAGAAAATGATTCATTTATTTTGATGATGTTGGGTCACAACAAGAACTGATAATTGACTATCTGATTGCTTTTATTTCTTCTAAAGAATGAGGAGAGATATCAAAATTATTTTCTATGTTGTATTCTTTCTTAAGACATTACCTTATATTTTTCAATCTTAAACTCAATTTTGTTCAGTGTTTTTGGATTTAATAGAACTATTAAGTCTGCAACATCAGTTTACAGTAACATTCATGACAACAACTGATTTAATGAACTGGTCTTTATTGTGTTGAAATAATCAAAATAACAAATTTAATCAATGAAACATGTAATCAGAGAGTGAGAGAAGGTAAAGAAAGATTTAGACAGATAATCAGAGGGTGCAGACTGAGAGCAGTAGCAGAGTAAAACCAGTATCAGAGTCCCAGTGAGTCAGGTCAGAACTGGGAACACTGGTCTCTCCTCAGTGTCTCTGAGAGCGGAGTCTGGGAGCCCTGGGTGGCCTCACAGGTCACAGAGCCCACCTTCCTCCAGTGGTCTGCAGAGAGCCTCAGGGTGCTGCTCCAGCTGTAGTGGCCGTCCTTCAGCACCCCGGGGCTCCTGCTCTCCTCCCAGCTGATGCTGCTGCTGCTGCCGTCCACCTTCCAGGACAGACTCCAGTCTGAGGGGGAAGCCCTTGTTGGCCAGACACATGAGCGTGGCCTTCCCCTGCTGCAGCTCCTTACTGGAGGGGGCAGCACCGTCAGGGTGGGACGGACATCACCTAGGAGACACCAATCAGCTTAGAGGACAGGGTCCACACAGCTGTCAAACAAGCAGCAGACACTTGGACACCTTTACTGTGTGAGAGTTGATTTTCTCCTTTAAGGAGTTTCTGTCAGATGGTTTTTCTGCACCACCAGTCACTCACTCACACATTGTTTCACTTCCCTTTAAGAAGCCTCTCATGCATATCAGCACAGAGAGAATCATCATACAGAATGAGCTGAAATATATCAAACTACACTGGAAATAAAATATCAAAAACTCATCAAAATCATCCAAAACCTGAACTATACATTACTTTAAAGTATTTAGTGGAAACATGAACAAACACACAAAATGAACTGACTACAATCAAATGTTCTTCATGTGGATTTCAATCATCATTACCAAACGTTTCAACAGATTTTAAACTTGAAGCAATCTGTGACACAATGAAGAGATTTCGAAGGTTTTCGAATACCAAGCTTCATCTTCACTCTGTACAATTTTATTTTAATAGCTTAATCTCAACTCATTCAAAAACAGCTATTAGGAATGTCGACAAATAAACGCGCATGTGTGAAGACATTTATAAAACGGTTAGCACATTTTTTTTCCTACACTTTGCGCTGTTTGAATTTCAGTTTGTCAGGAATGTGTAAAGAAATGTTTAGAAAAGCTGCTCTGAGTTAGCCTCCGTCAAAAAGGAGGATACAGAAATCTGTATTAAAATTAAAACAAGATATATTTATCAGCCTCAAGCAACCAATACTGAATATAAAACATTACTTTACAATGTTCTAATATTTAATATCAATGCAGAAACTTACTTCCAACATCCAGTCTGGTTCCTCCACCAAAAGTCAACCACAGTGATACAAACTCATTGAGCCGCCGTACAAAAACCTCTCACTGTAGAGTGACACGGCTCTCTGACTTTGACACAAACAAACTCAACAAAATTATTCTGTTTGTAAAACCTTGTCATGTGACAAGAACAATAACAATTACCAGAAACTTCCGAGATTTATTTATATATTTGTTAACATAAGATAAGAAAAGATAAGATGTACCTTTATTGATCCCCTGTAGAAGAAATTCAAGTTAGACACAGCAGCATAGGCCAATGTAGTGCAACGAGTACAGAAGTACAATAAGAATTGCAAAATAGGAATTTTATAAAATATAGCAGAAAATATAGACTATAAATGAAAAGGATATACACTATATGCAATATGCAAGTAAAATGGTGGGGTGGACATATGGAAAGGGATCGGGGGAGGAAGGAAGTGGAGGGGTGTTGAGGGGGGAAAAGGCTGTCGTCTGGGTAAAGAAGGGAGAGACGGGCTGTGGAGGAGGGTGGGGTAGCCAAGGTGTGAATGAGGGTACCTGAGGAGGTGGAGGGCGTTTGTGAATCAAACATGTTGGAATACAGGTTTAACTCGTTGGCACATCCCTTTGTCCCCTCTACTGAACCTACTGACCTTTTCATGCCAGTAATGCTCCTCACCCCCCTGTAACAGTCCATCAAGGCCTCCTCTGCCTCCACCGACCACTGCTGCACAGTGCTGGTGGTGATGGACTGTCTCCTATATAAAATATATGTTTCTAAATAAATTTGAAATGTAAAGAAAATATATGCATTAGAATAGAACCAAAATTATATGAACTAGTTGTTGTGTATTTCTGAATCAGCAATCCATTAAAGTGATTGATCCATTGATAAACAGCATCATGAGAGGAATCCAAGTCCCTGTTGGAGTCAGTCAGAGCATTTCCATAGAGAGCCACTTTGCATCAGCAGCACCATGCTCCAGTGCTCTGGGAGAGTTTATAGTCCTGAGAGTTGAACACTGGATGACTGACAGCTGTCCTTCATGACAACAGAAGACACAGAAATCCTCCTCATCAAAAACATGACTTTGATCTCCGTCCTCATCTGGACTCTCCTCTGCTGCTGCTTCACAGGTAAAGTCCAGAGAATCAAACTCCTCTCCTCTATGAACATCCGTCCCTCTGAAATGAAGCCCACAAAACCATGATGCTGCTTTATGTTTTTGTCTCTGTATCCTCAGAGTCCAGAGGCCAGGTCACAGTGACTCAGTCTGGAGCAGTGAGCTCTGCTCTGGGACGCTCCGTCACCATCACATGTAGGACCAGTCAGAATGTCTTTACTAGTGGGGGCAACCACTATTTAGCCTGGTACCAACAGAGAGATGGAGAAACTCCTAAACTGCTCATTTATGTAACTAGCAGTCGAGCATCAGGGATTCCAGGTCGTTTTACAGGCAGTGGATCAAACTCTGACTTCACTCTGACCATCAGTGGAGTCCAGACTGAAGATGCAGCAGTTTACTACTGTCAGAGTTTTCATGTTATCAACAGTCAGTATGTGTTCACACAGTGAAAAAGCGTCGTACAAAAACCTCCCTCAGTCAGACTGAACAGAAACTGAACTGACTGCTGCAGCTGGAAGCTACTGCAGAGACTGATACACTTCACTGAGGACACACACACACACACACACACACACACACACTCTCTCACACACACACACACACACAAACTAAACAGTCTGCAGGAGAACAGTGGAAATGAATCTGTCTATGGTACTGAACTGATTAAGGGAATAGACACTTTTCATGGCAGACATTTTGACTTGCCAAAGCGGGAAAAGCACAGGTGTATTTAATTACATTAATGATGGCTTCATTACATTTAGGTGAGCCAGTCTCAGAGCTCTGGTACTGTGCATGCTCACTCACTGAAAGGCCTTACTGGGACACTGAATGAAATTGGGCCAGTATTAATGTTATTATTACACCTGTGATTTACCTGCTTTGATCAGTCAAAATGTCTGCTGTGAAAAGGGTCTATTTGGAAAGGTGAGTGAGTGGGCAGGGAAGATCTGATGGTGCAAAGGGCGGAGTGAGAGTTACTGCAGGACAGAAGGGAGAGGTTGGATCTGGAATGATAGGAGAGTAAGTAGAATCAGAATCAGAATCAGAATTGGGTTTATTGCCAAGTAAGTTTTTACACACACAAGAAATTTGCCTTTGTACATTGGTGCATTAAAAATCACACAAAAAATAAGTACTTTTTAAAATATAAATAAATAAAGATAAGGATGAAGATAGAACGATCTAGAAGTAACCGAGCAATGCAACAGAAATAATGTTATAATCTAACTGAAAGAATAAACTAGAATCTTGTTTTATTTGTTGAAACATCCTTCTTTCAAATTGGATCAGAATCATAATCAGAAATACTTTAATAATAATGTGGGAAAGGCCACCCATCCCCTGAAACAGATTTAACAAACAGAAAACTTCAATGAGGGAGAAAATATTGTATTATCCTTTGGAAGACATGTTTAGGAATATTCTGATTCTATTCATTTCACACCAATAATTGTATGTATGGTATCAAATAAGAACATGTAAGATGCACCTTGGTAATAAAGACTATTGAGTTCAATATAATTTAACAGAATAATATCCACCCTTACTGCTTTATGGAAACCAGTTGCTGTTCTCAATCAC